TGATATGCATGTCACAGCACTTAAATCAACTACAATACCCCCCTATGTCAGAGAAGATAATTTGGGGTAGGATAAAAGAAACATGCCCATGGAAGCCCAATGCTTGTAGAAGCAGTGGAAGACCCATCCAGGCCAGCAGATTTGAAGATTGGAAGGTCACTTGTGGCGGGGCGTCAAGGGGTACCTATAACAGTGGCCAATTTCTCTGAATATGAGCAGACACTTAAGGAAGGGGCATTGTTGGGCGTGTGCCAATAGGTAGAGCAATGTTAAAGCAAAGAATGCAACTGTGAAGAAAGGACATACACTTCCAGAATATTTGACTGACCTCTATAAGAAGAGCATAGTCCATTTGTCATCATCACAGGCTCTTCAGGTAAAAGAACTTTTGGCAAATTATGCTGACGTCTTTTCGAAAGGAGATCATGACCTCGGATGCACAAACCTGGTATAGCACAGAATAAACACAGGCAATCACCGTCCAATAAAGATCCCTTCAAGGAGAATAGCTCCAGCAAAGCGACAAGAGATAGAGAAGGTCCTGGACGGTCTAACTAAGGAAGGGATAGTTTTAACATAAATACATGGTCCAGAAAATCATTGTGATTTTTTTGTCGTAGTTGATTTTCCGTCGTTGTTGTTCTCAACAGCAAGTAATATCTGTTCTGATTAAGAGGATGTTGCAACAACTTCGCATGTTAGAGAAGGAAAGGGTCAACGATTGCAACGCCCTCCACTAGGTAAGTTTGTTTGTTTTTGAATTTCGCGCAAAGCTACACGAGGGCTATCTGCGCTAGCCGTCCCTAATTTAGCAGTGTAAGACTAGAGGGAAGGCAGCTAGTCATCACCACCCACCGCCAACTCTTGGGCTACTCTTTTACCAACGAATAGTGGGATTGACCATCACATTATAACGCCCCCACGGCTGAAAGGGCGAGCATGTTTAGTGTGAGGGGGATTCGAACCCGCGACCCTCAGATTGCGAGTCGAGCGCCTTATCCACCTGGCCATGCCGGGCTCGCTAAGTAAGTAAAATATATTTGTATGTTTCAGCCATTATTTCATGGCTGTTTTATTGATTAATTCTATAGAAATTCATCTCGAGAGCGAAAAAGCTAAGGTTCTGTTCACAGATCCAGTAGAGACAATTGTATAAATGACTATGCAAGTATGCGCAGTTTTTATATTTATGTCACAGATAAAGTCAACTCTTGAGTAGCTTTGTGCAAAATTCAAAGAAACAAATTACTAAGCAGGATTGAACATGGGACCACTTGCATTACACGTGAGTGATTTATCAGTTGCGTTAGATAGTTAACCTACTAGCAGTTGGTAGTAAGGCACATTTTAACAATTCAAACTATCACATTCTTTTTTTCCCTTTACCCTTTGAGTTAGATTATTTACCCACTAGACATTGTAAATAAGTCACTTCTTAAT